GGCAGGATAGCATTGGAGAGGAGAAACAGTTCATGGTGGACAGAAGGTAGCAAATAAATAAATAAATAAATAAATAAATAAATAAATAAATAAATAAATAAATGTAGCAAAGCTACAAGGGGACAAGACAAGCCTCTTTCTGTCCCTTATATCCTGGCTACCAGGATGAGGGTCGCGCCAAGCCAATCGGTGAGCTGATTTAGTGATCATCCCCCACCTTAATCCTAGCACCCTTAGCCCTCGCATGGCCCCATGAACCAATCACACACTCCCGAATCAGCCGCCTCTGAGAAAGCCCCACCGATGACTGCATGCGGCTTTGGGGGACGACTGGACGCAGCCGTGACAAGGAGGCACTGTCTCCAAACAAACCAACCAAAACTCAGGGGAGGAAGACTAGGATGTAAGTCACTGCAGAGACCCTGGGTTCGAGCTGCAGTACAGGAAAGAAAAAAAAAATTGTTTTTTGACACGTAGATGAGTGCTCAGAGGTATGAAGTGCATGTGGGAGCTGGGCAGTCTGAGGCCTGGGTGAAGAAACCCACCATCCCCTGGGTAACAGTGCACTCCGGGGAGGTTCGCTGAGTGTACACCTTGCCTCTGAGCCTTTACTTATGCTGTTCCTCCCACTTGGGACACCCTTCCCTGAGTCTTCATAGGTCAAAATTTGACTCACACTTTAAGACCTAATCTAAAGGTTATGCTTCCAGTGGGAACCTTCCTGAGCCCTCTGCAACCTGAGGAGGAATAGATCACCCTTCCCACCACAATCTGGTCACCACTTAGAGATACTTTAATGCTCTGCACAGGGCCTGATGCAAAGTAAGCGCTCAGTAAACACTAGCTTTCCCGACCATGTTGTGTGGAAGGTGGGTCATGCACAGGACGTGGATTGTCAGAATCACACTGACTTCCCCTCTGTCTCCCTGCCTGTGACCTGAGGGGTGGAGTCCCAGAACCACTGAGGCAGGAGAGGCCCAGCCCCTGAAGGGAGGACCCAGCTGGGTGGTACTTACGCTGCGCCACCTCTCGCTGCTTGCGGACGTACCAGGTGTACAGGGCAGCACGCTTCTGCGTCTTCATGGGTGTCCCCTTGTTGAGGTGCTGGGACAGGTGGGACTGGTTGAGGCCAGTGGTGTCCACCACCTCCCGCTGTGGGATGTTGTGCTGCTGCAGGTAGGACTTGACCATCTTTGCCACGCGCCATGGGTCCTCCCTGGAAAGGGGACAGAGACAGGCTCTGCTCGGCGGGTGCTCACAGATCCTGAGACCGGGTCGACCACTAGCATGGGGACAAGGCACAGCCCCGTGGACGCACAGACACGGCGCCACATCTGCACGGTGAGAGTCTCCCACTGGAAGCTGGGCAACCCAGGGAGGGAGAGTCCTCCACTAAAGGCACCCCCATTCTACCTGGGGGTGTTACATGGGGCTTCTCCGCTGTGAGAAGTGGGGGACGCCTTAGGGCAGCGGTGGTGCGGTTCTCAGCCCCCAGAACTGGCCTGACATGGACTGCGCGGTTGCTGAGTACTTGAATGGGCAGATGGGGGTGGAGATGGGTGGAAGGCGGGGACGTACTGGAGAGCCAGGCCTGCGGACTGGTGAGTCATCCAGCCCAAGGCAAGAGGATCCCAAGGACAAGTCCCACCTGATGTTCAGGGCAACTCTGTCCAAATAAAAGCTAACAGGGCTGAGGATGCAGTCAGGGGCAGAGCACCCCTCAGTCTGATCGCCAGTGCCACGCAAACACAATAAAAAGAAAACCAGAAAGGTTGAGTTCCGGTTTAGAGCCAGGTCCACAGAGCGTTTAGAAGCTTGCGTCACCTGCATCTTTCACTCAGGGTCACAGGGCCAGCCTCAAAGATGCGCACACCATCAAAACGGATTCAGTTGTAAGTCAACAATCAGGCAAAAAGTCACACAGGATCAAAATGCCTGGCCGTGCGCACTGAGCCCGAGGCAGCAGCTCGGCGCTTTCCCAAAGCTGCAGCCGGCAGCTGGTTTTCCTGAGGATTCCGGATGAGGGTGACAACTAGAGCACCTAGGGAAAGCACCTACAAGCCCTTTGCACCCCGGGGTGATGACCAAGCTGCTGGCCCCAATCTTCGGAACACCAGGAGCAAGCAGAGGCTGCCTAACCCCTGCGCTGCCGGACCCTTGTCAGTCCTGGCTCCGTTCTCTATCCCACGATCCCCAGCCGGACCAAAGTGCAGTGGCTGGGATTCCTCACGGAAGACACTTAGCAAACAGAATGCATCAGGGCGTGGCAGAGACCTCACTGTATCAAAACAGTGTGGGGGCCGGGGAGATGGCTCAGTGGAATAAGCGCTTCCCTGGCAAGCCCAAGGGCCTGAGTTCAATCCCTGGTTCCATCAAAAGAAAAAAAAAAAAAAAAAAAAAAAACCCTAAATGTCTTTGAGCATCAGAATCTCATTCTGTGCGCTGAGACTCTCCCAAGAGAGTGATGCAGGGGACTGGAGGCATCTGCGATTCGCGTCCCTGTCCTTTGCTGTGTGTGCGTCTCCAGTAGGCAATGGGAGGGATCAGAGTACTCGCACCATATACTGTGAATTCTCTCCTCTTCTGCTATTTCAAACCCCCGCCCCTACCCCTTAAAGACATGTACATATCAAATAAAGCACAACACAAGGGTACTAAAACAGGAAGAACTGAGGAGTGTTTGTCTTGGTGTGTGTGTGTGTGTGTGTGTGTGTGTACATTACTGAGAATTGAACCCAGGGCATTTTCACTGAGCCACATCCCCAGCCCTTTTTATTTTAATTTTAATTTTTATCTTGAGATGAGGTTGCACTAAGTCGAGAAATTGCTCAGACTTGCAGTCCTCTTGCCTCAGCCTCCCAGCCCAGTGGGATAACAGATGCATGCCACGAGGCCTGATTCGGAACTGGACTTTAAACACAGGTTGTGTGACTCCGAAGTCTGTGTCCACCTCTTCCTGCTTGACCCAGAAATCTGCTTCTAGAACCAGAGCCTTCTGATATTTGCCCATGTGACAAATAGCACATGCTGTCCATCGCCTGCCACACTGGGAGACTACAAACAACCAGGACACCCGGCAAAAGACACCTTCGATGTTCCAGGACCTCCTTTCTGTGCCCCACAGTGGGAGCTCTGCTGATCTGTGGAAAGCAAAGAGGCTTCCCACATCTTCATGCATATACACACAAAACCCCAGGGGACACACAAGCACTTGGAGACCCAGGGAGTGTCACCATAGGGGAAGGGGTTGCTGGGGACATGGTGACAAGGGACAGCTTTCTCTGGAGCTCTTCTGTACTTTTTTAAAGTATGTTTCTCTTATATGAGAAACCCAAAGCGTGTAGAATTTAAAGAGCAAATAAAACATAGGAAATAGAGAGCTAGATCTTTTGCAAACAGGGACACAGTCTAGAGATGGGGGAAGGAGAGGCAGAGGAGAAGGAGAGAAGCCTGGAGGTGTGTTACACGCATGCTCCACCTCCCCATGATAAATGTCATCCTCGTGTACTGCAAACGTGGGCCACATTTTCGTGTAGTCTAAACACATGTTAATTTTAAAAGGAAGCAGGGGGGTTGCAAATTCAAGGCAGGCTGGTCCAGCAACTCAGTGAGAACCTACTTCAAAATAAAATTAAAATTTTTAAAAGTCTAGGGTGTGGCTCAGTGGTAGAGCATTTGCCTGGCAGACACCAGGCCCTGGGTACTATCCCCAATACCACAAAAAGAAAGAAAAGAGGGCCGAGGAGATAGTTCAACAGTCTAAGCACCTATGTGGCAAGCGCAAGGACCGGGGTTCAATCCCTGGTACCACATGCTGTGCTGGCCTCACCCCAGGCCCACCGAGCTAGCCACTGAAACCAGGTATGGTGATGCCCACCTATAATCCCAGTGCTTGAGAGGCTGAAAACAGGAGGATCACTACAAGTCCAAGCTGTGTAGCAAGACCCTGTACCAAATACATAAATTTTTTAAAAAATTACAATATTACATATAATGTAATATATCCCATGGTCCCCTGAGACCCTAAGGAAGTCCTAGAATGTCAATAGGTAATAAACCCATCAATGTTCGAGCCCTGTGTAGTACCTTCATATGGCCTACACATGTCTTCCTGCATAGTTGAAATCACTCTGTTACTTACAGTACCCAATGCAGTGTAAATGATATATACATTGTTTAGAGAACGGTGACAAGACAAGGGCCTGCATGTGTTCAGTACAGACACAATTACTTTCTAGTATTATCTGTTTGTTTTGGTGATACTGAGGTCCAAACCCAGGGCCTCACACATATAATCAAGCGCTCTACAACTGAGTGACAACCCTAGAGCCTTTGACTTTTTTTTTCAGTACTCAGGCTTGAACCCAAGACCTTTTCACTAAGCCATATCCCCCAGTCCATTTTGCATTTCAAGACAAGGTTACCCACTTACAATCTTCCTGCCTCAGCCTCCCAGAGTGCTTGGATTGCAGGTATGTGCCACCATATCCAGCTATTTGCATCTACAGTGAGTGAATTCACAGACTTGCCTGGTCCCCTCTGGACTTGTCACTTCCTTTGTTATCAGTGATTCCCAGATAGGTAGGGAGGAAAAACAGGCAGGGACAGAAAAACATAAATTGTTCAATAGTAGATATGCCAGGTCCCTCGTGCATGCAAAATGCTAATGGTGGGCAGGGGATGCCCAGTGCCTAGCCAGTGAGCACAAGGTCTTGAGTTCAACTTCCAGTACCACACACACACACACACACACACACACACACCCATTGATAATGGTGATAATAATGTTCCTTAAGCACCTACTGAGCCAGTACTATGCTTCAGGCTGGTCATTTAAATGTCACAATGATCTTAGGAAGGAAGAAGCTGCCTACTCCACAGGTAAGAAAACCAAGGCTCAGAGAAAGGGAAGGTCCCTTCTCCAAGTTGACCTCACTGGCTCTTATGCCACATGCCTGTAAATCCCAACACTCTGAGAGGCTGATCCAGGAGGATCACAACTTCAAGGCAAACCTGGGCAACATACTGAGACCCTGTTTCAAAATTTTATTTTTATTTATTTATTTATTTATTTATTTATTTATTTGGCGGAACTGGGGATTGAACTCAGGCCTTTGTGCTTGCCAGGGAAGCACTTATCCACTGAGCCTTCTCTCTGGCCCCTGTTTCAAAATTTTAAAAAGTTGAGGTTCTGTCTGATAATAGAGCACCCTGGGTTCAATCTCCAGTATTGCGTTGCTGGGACCCCCAAGGCCTCTCTCTCAGCTTCTCTCTCTCCTAGGGCCTCGGGGAGCCTCTCTTCCCCACCTGCCCCCTTCCCAGGTGCCAGCCAGAGCTAGGAGTCAGAGATAGGCAGAAAGCACAGTCCAAAGTCCAGCCTGTGCTTCTAGCAAACATGTTTATCTGATGGCCTCCTCCTCTCCAGCTGCCTCCCCTCCCCCTCTCCTTTCCAGAGAGGATGACGTGACCTGGTGTTGGACTTCTCCTCCAGGCCCAGAATAAAGATGTACTGTCTGCCACTGTCCCTTGGATATTTACATTCTCATTCATATTCTCTCTCTCTCTCTCTCTCTCTCTCTCTCTCTCTCTCTCTCTCTCCCCCCCTCCTTCCTTCCCTTCCTTCCCTTCCTCCCTCTCTCCCAAACACACCAGGTCAACAGGTCAAATATGATAAAACCAAGCCCAGTCACACTCTCAGACAGGCACAATGGCTCTGCTTCACTTACTATAAAAACCACAACAGGTATCTGAACAGGAAAATGGGAAGCGAAAGTGGTCAAATGATTCAGGTGAGCTACTGGGAGCTTGATGGTTTAAAGCAGTTCCTAGAGGAGGAACAACAAATTCACAACAACAACAAAAGTGAATTTAAAATACCAGCAAGAAGCCAAAAGGGGGCCGGGGAGATGGCTCAGTGAAATAAGTGCTTCCCTGGCAAGCACAAGGGCCTGAGTTCAATCCCCAGTTCCACCACAAAAAAAAAGTAAGAAGCCAAGAGGCTCTGTCTTCCCCTTTTCTGAAAGAAGCCATGTTTTTTTCTAGAACCTACTAAATCAGTCTCTTGGTCTAGGTCTTGGTTTTGGAGAGAGTCTCTCTCTCTCTCTCTCTCTCTCTCTCTCTCTCTCTCTCTCTCTCTCTCATTTTAACACACGCATGTGTGCACATGCAAGATCTTCCCATCTTCCCCAACTCAGAACTTAGAGGCCAAGGCCCCAGGCGTGATTTCCCATGAGCCACCTGCCTATACATAGGGTAAATCCACATCTACCTCATGTTGCTCTCCAGACAATTAAATGAGTTTCAAATGGGGATGGAGAGTTTGGCACAGGCTGGGGCCCCTCCTAGGGCTCAGCATGTGAACAATATTGTCATCTTCTTCATCACCCTCAGCAACAGTGTCATCCTGTGGCCCCCAGTGCCTCCGGAGAGCCCAGAAAGGGTAAAGATCTGCCCATCTCCTGCCTCTTGTCTGCCCCCATGCAGGTCAACCAGATGGCCATGGTTTGGGGGCTTTTACTCTCAGATGTCCAAGGCTGTGGGGCCTAGAGCTGCTCTTCAGAAGGGGAAGCTAGATTCTCAGAGTGAAGCCACCCACCATTTCAGGTGTTGGAAGCTAATTAACCTCTCTGTGCCTCAGTTTCCTCATCTATGAGATAGGGCTCATATTTCAGAAATAAATGAGTTGTGTGCCTTTGAAGAAGAAGGCTAAGAAGAAAAATGAGTTGTGCGCCTTTGCAAGCTCTTCATGAGCTTTAAAGCACAGTGTAGGTGTGGGTGCAGCTAGAGTTGAAGAGTGGGAATGATGGGGTACGAGGGGGAGCCTACAGACAAGCAAGGCCCAAGTCCTGGCCTTGCTACTTGGAACAGTTATCTTGGCTAAGTTATTTTGTCTCTCTGAGCCTTAACTTGCTGGTCTGTAAAATGGAACACTTAAAACAGCAGGGCCAGCTACCATGTATTGCCTAGACTCCATATGCAGCTCTGCACATACCATGCCATTAAATGGCACTGTTAATTGCATCTCTGCTTTGCAGAGGAAACTAAGGCTTAGGAAATAGAAACCAGCTGCCTGAGCTGGAAAGGGACAAGCTGGGACTGGGACCAGGACCCAGGGATGCTGGATCCTTTGTCCTGCCTTTACTACACTCTTCGAGGGCACAGTCCCCTGGTGCCGCATGACAGGGAAGAACAGTGTTTCCAAGTTGGGATTTGCACTGCGCAGGGACAAGAAGGACCTACAAAGAGCCCTCCTTCCTGGTGGATCCCCTAGCAAGAGTGCAAGGTATGCCCAGGGCTTCGGGTCAGCCTGGTCATGCATCCATTCCTTTGTGCTGTGTCAGGCAGGGGGCTACACTCGGGGGATTTGAGTGGTGAGCAAGGGGTCACAGGCTTTGTCCCTGAAGAGCTCCCTATTTTCTTGGCAGAAGGTAGAAAACAAGATAATAAGACTAAGTGATAGGGGATACAAATGAACAACTATTTTGTTTCTGCATATTCAAAATAGTTACGATAGATATACAGCTATATTCTCTTAATTCAATGAATAGAACGATTTGTTTTAATAGTGTTTGTGGACAGGATATCATGTCTGCATCTTGTACAATGAATAACCACTAAGACAACGATATGCAATGTACTAAATATTGAAACTGTCCTACTAATCGGTTTTGAAACTGTCTCATTGCTATTTGTTTCTCAATACAATTACTGTTTTAAAAAGACTAAGTGATAAAGGACATGAGAGAGTAAGTGAAAGCAGTGAGAAAGAGTGACTGGGGCTGGCGCTCACCTGCGCGTGGAAGCTGAAGAAGCCAAGATTTGAAAACAGGGCTCTGAGCAGGTCAAGCTGCACACACAAAGGCCCCGAGGTAAGAACCAGCCGGTAAAGGAGGAAGGTGGGTGCGGAGGAGAGGCATCCAGGAAGTTGGTGGGCCTGAAGGGACAGCACCCCCCCAGGCAGGCACTTTGGTTTGTATTCACTCTCTATGTCAGGAGACTCAGGCAGAGGAGGGTTGGAGACTTCAGGGAAGAGGATAGAGATCTAAAGGTAGAACTCTAGCTCCTGCTGTGGGCTCAAAAATAGGGCCTACACGTCCTGACCTGCTGCGGCCTCTTCCCAGACACTGTCCTCTCCAGAGAACCAGTGTCTTCCGTCCATACCGTCTCTCCAGCCTCAACCTCCCCACCACCCCGTCCCCCTTTCCCAGCCCTCTCCCTGGGGTGCCTTTGCCTGCCCCAAGACTCAAGGCCCCACTTTTCTCCCTGGGCGTTTTTCAGATCCCCTTTGTTACCTGAACAATAAGTAACCCAGGTAGTTAGTTATAAACTCTACAGGAACAAGGAGCTGGTTGATAATTTATAGCAACATCTCAAATTTAAATGGAAAGTAAATAGCATGCTGTTAGCATTAAAGAAAACCCAATCGGGCGCGGGAAGCACTCAGCCTCCTCCCTGCCTGGCCGCCTCACTCTCTCCCCTGCCCCTTCTCCCAGCTGGGTCTGAGCCCCTCTGTCTGGGCTCCCTGCTTGCCCGGGCTCCCTGCTTGACCGGCTTCTTCCCCTGTCCTCTCTCTTCCCCCTGCTCCCCTCGGTCTCTGCCTCAGCTTCCAGGTCTCTGCCTGTCCCCAGCGAGCACTTTGACCTCTGCTCCCCGCTCGAATGCTGAAGACCAGGCCTCCCCCATCCCACCATCCCACCACAGGGGCCCCACCCAAGCAGGTAAGACGGCCCTGGCACCCCTTGCCCCCATCTACACCCCAAGCCCACCTGGGCCCCAAGCAGGCCAGGCCCAGCCCCACCCTAACCAGGTTGCCCTGGGTCTGCTGATGCCTGGCCCTTTGCCCCTCCCCTGCAGTGCAGAAGCCCTTTGCCCTCCTCTTCCTGCCAAGTCAGGGGGCCTGACTGCTCCACTGCCCCCTGTCCCGAGCCTCAGGAGGCTCCCGGACACTTCTGGGAAGGCCAGGGTCCACCAGCCCTCCCCCACTACAAACCCGGATCAGGACCTTGGACAGAAAAGATGGGACAGAAAAGGTGGTTCACACGTAGAGCCACCTTGGAGCAGTTTCTGGAGCTCCCGGCTGCACAGGCCCTCCCACCCCCTCTGGCCTCTGGGCCCCAACAGAGCTCCTTTTCTGCCTTAAGCCTCAGCTTCCCATCTGTGAAGCAGGATTTTCAACAGCTATCTCCCAGTACTCCTCTGAACATTATGGGCCCATTGACACAGGAAGTCCCAATGACAAGCAGTAAACCTTTGCAAATATACAGCTGTGAGGACAAAGGCTATGGAACCTTTAGTAGAGAGGTCCCTTATGGCCCCCAGGTCACACTCCTCCCACCGGAGAGTCCCCTTCCTCCTCCCCCACTGGGTGGGAGGTTGGTTGACCCAGGTGTCTCCCGGCCACCATCCTTACAAGTTAATGATCACAGGCCTTATCAGAGCCTTTTGCCGTTTATAAATTTATAAAACAAAAGAGAAATAATAAAGTACATGGGTAATTAGTAACCAGGTCAGCTCTGCTGAGGAGAGGGGAAGCATCAGGCTCCAGACCCACCCAGTTCTCACCCAGGAGATGGGGAACCAGCCAGCAGATGGGGTACAGGTCAGAAAAGGGGACACAGGATGAGTGGGGAGACTTCTAACACAGCCTAAGGGCCTGGTGGGAGTCTGTGGCCAGTGGAAAGAGGGTCAGCTCCCACCATCAGCCTCCAGGTGTCTGCCTCAGGTAAGAACGGCCTGGGCTTTCCCAGCCTCCAAATGCTTGAGTCCCTGGGGGCCAGGGAAGCCCCCAAAACCCCAGCTTTAACCCCGCCTCCCTGGTGGTGTTTCCTGGTCCCCCAAAGCTACACTCTGAGCTTTCCGCAGCGGGGAATACAAATGGCCCTGGAGGCTAAAGTGTTCCACCATCTCCAGGCTTGCATTTGTCCCTCCATCCCAAGCTTCCCGGGGGCTCATACATCCCCCACTTCCCATAGCAGAGTGGGCAGAGCGGAGGGCAGAGTGGGGGGCTCCCGCGGGCTCCTTCCTGGGGGCAGGGGAGGTGGGGAGGGGGCCTTACTGCAGCAGGGTCTCCACCACCGCCTTCTGGTGGGCAGCCTCCTCGGGGCTGAGGTTCTCCAGCTCCTTGAGGATGGGGGGTGTGAAGTCCTCCCCGTCGTCGTCCGTCTCATCCTCGGAGCCCCGCGTGTCGCCCAGCCCATTGGGCAGCTCCGCCAGCTCCCCTCGAGCCCCGCCACCGCAGCCCTCGCCCTTGTCCAGAGGGCCATCTCCAGCCAGCAGGTAGGGGCCCGGCTCGCCCAAGGCCTGGATCAGCGCCTCCTTGCTCAGGCCCGACTCGAGCAGGGCGGCTAGGAGCTCCGTCTGCAGCTGGCTCAGCTTAGAAACCATGGCTCGGCCAGCACCCGCCACGCGGCCCGGGGCCACGCGCCGGTGCTCCCACCCACCCAACGCGCTGGCCACCTACTCGCCGGCCGGCCGGCAGTCACAAACCTGGCTCCTTGCACCCACTGCCCCCCCAAACCCCACTAGCCGAGCCCTGGGCACCCCCAACCCCCAACCCTGCCCCAGAGGCCAGTGAATCAGGGCCCCTGCCTGCTCTATTTACATTGGAGCTGGGGAAATTCTCCAAGGTTCATATTTATCCGTGTGCTTAGCGAAGGGACTGAACTTTGGACTTCAGCCCTGCCGAGAGCAGGCAGGCCTCATGGCAGCCCAGGAGCCATGGCCTTCGCGGAGCGGAGAGGGGCGGGGAGGCGGGCGGAGGCGGCCTGGGCAGCGGGGATGGAAGGAGATGGGGGCCAGGGAGGCCACGGAGAGCGGCTCTGGGTCCCACCCGAAGGTCCCACCCCAAGGGCCGCACACGGCTGTCAGCCCCAGGCCTGGGAGCAGGGGGGGAAAAAAGCCTTTCTTTCAGGAGAAGCATCAGGAAGTTCTAGGCCTCAGGGCCAGCTGCCAAGGGCTGAGCTAGGTCCGCGTCATTTGGGGACCCAGGCCCAACACCAGGCCTCTCCACAGGAAGCCTGAGGAGAGCCGCTGTGCGCCAGGGACTCTCCTGGCTCGGCGCTGCATCTCTTCATTGTACCCTCCTAGCAACTGGAGGAGGTCCGGGGGTAACCTCCATTTTACAAAGGAGGAAATCCAGATTCTGAAAGGCCTAGAAACAACTCCTCCAGAGCCAGCGAGAGGCCGCACTTGCAGGGGCTGCGGCTAAGGTGAAGAGAATGAAGCCCTTGTCCTAGCTACAAATTTTAAGGGGTACTTCAAAGAACTTTAGTCATTGAGACTTTTTTGCGCCATATATTTTAAAAATCAAAATTAATACTAAACCCCAAAGAACTGCAAAGCATATGTCCACCTAAACCTTCTACATGGGTGCTCACAGCAGCATCATTCAGGTAGCCCAAAAATTGGGGGGGGGTGCACAAATATCTATCAACAGGAATGGGTACAGTGTGGCCTATCCATGAGGTAGGATATTACTCAGGCCAGGCATGTGGCCCATGCCTGTAATCCCTTCTACTTGGAAAACTGAGGCAGGAGGAGCCCAAGGTCAAGGCCAACCTAGTAACTGAGTGAGATTCCCTATTTCAAAACATGAACAGGGCTGGGGACATAGCTCAGTAATGAGGCACCTGCCTAGGGGGCCCAAGGGCCTGGGACAAGGTCCACATCACTGAAGTGTATTATTTGGTCCCAAAATACACCACCAAATGGATGAACCTCGAATACGTTGTGCTATGTGAAAGAAGACTGTCCCAGGAGGCCTCATTCCATTCCTGGGAAACGGTCAGAGCAGGCAAAGCCATAGAAAGAAATAGCTCTGAGGCTGCCCCAGGGACTGCTGGGAGCTGAGACTGGGCTATGGCTGACTCGTGGGTAACAAAACGTCCTAGAACTAATGGTGGTGCTTGTCACAGAATGCTGGAAATGCACTGAACACTGCTCGCTTGTACATTTAGGAGACCAGGTTTGATGGCACGTGGCTTGATTTTTTTTAATGCGTTAAATTAATATAAATAAATCTGTGATGAGTAAAAGATCATACACTTTTTTTTTAATGTACTTAGTACAGGGTCTCACCCACAGATTGGACCTGTAGTGATCCTCCTGCTTTCAGCCACCCAAGCGCTGGGATTACGGGTCTGCAACACCACACCCAGTCTCAAATGCTGTCTCAGTGCACCCCGGAGGCAGGGCCAGCACAGCTTGTGGTGTCCGGGATCAAACCTCAGCCCCCATATTTTCCATGAAGACAGGTCCAACCTTCACTCACATCACCCAGCCCTTCACTCTTCCAGCCAAGAGCCTGACAGCATTCCTCAAGAGCAAGCACCCAGGGGCCAGGGAGATGGCTCAGTAGAAGAAGTGCTTGCCTGGCAAGTGCAAGGGCCTGAGTTCAAAAAGAGAGAGAGAGAAAGAAAGAGAGAGAGAGAAAGAAAGAGAGAGAGAGAGAGACAGAGAGAGAGAGAGAGAGAGAGAGAGAGAGAGAGAGAGAGTGCTCAGGAACAGAGGGCATGTACCATTTCTTAGGTGTGGGTGGAGGGTGCTGAGGGGCTGCCCCCTAGGCTGCGGCATTTCCAAAGAGTACAGACCTTTCAGGCGTCTGCCCAGCTAGGAGCTCTCAGATGGAAACTTCCCAGAAAGCCAAGCAAGGAGGACAGTGAAGAAAGACTGGTTAACTACAGGCTGAATCAACTTCACTCCTGCAAAGGATTTATTACCTTGTTATATCCTTAACACCTGTGCCATCCAACACCGTAGCCACCAGCCCCAGGTGGCGGTTGAGGACTTGGACTGTGGCTAGTGTCGCTTTTTGAAATAATAGTATTTTGGGTTTTGTTTTTGGTACCGGGGATTGAACTCAGGACCTGGTGCTTGCCAGGTGGGCGCTTATGCTGCTAAGCTATCTCCCCTGCCCTGAAATGATAGTACTTTGGGTATACTGGTTGAATGTTTACATTTGTAAAATTACACCAGACATGACAAGATTGTAATCTTGGGCCTGGGGAAAAAAAAAAAAAAAGATCAGAAGAGTTCAAGACCATCCTGGACTACTTTGTTACATTGTACAGTACATTTTATTGTCTCGGGCCAGGGTGATAGCTCAGTAGAATAGGTGCTTGCCTGAGAAGTGCAAGGTCCTGAGTTTAATCCCTGGTAAAAAAAAAAAAAAAAAAAAAATTCATTGTCTCAACAATAGAAATCAGGAGCCGGTCAAGTAGCTCAGCAGACCAATATGCCTGCAAGCAGGTGTAGGGGCAGAGGGTTCGATCCCCAGGCCTGCCCTGCCGGCCCCGCCCCCAGCGCGTGCTGAGACTGCAATTGACACTGAACATGGTGGCACACGCCTGTAATCCCAGCTCTTGGGAGGCTGGAACAGGCAGATCACTGAGTCTGTTCTAGTAGTGAGACCCTAAACACCCTAGAGACCCTTCCCTAAAAAAAAGTACAAATCAAGCCAGACAAGGTGGAGCATATCTGTAATCCCAGCACTTGGGAGACAGGCAGGAGGATCACCAGGAATGGAAGGCCAGCCTGAAAGCCTGAGCTACATTCTGAGTTCAAGGCCAGCCTGCACCAAATAATGAAATGCTGTCTCCAAAAATAAAAAAATTAAAGAAATAAATCAAAATTTTAAAATAGCGAGGTGTGTTGGCACAGGCTTGTAATCCCAGCTACTCAGGGAATTGGGGCAAAAGGATGCCAAGTTCTAGGCCAAACTGGGCAATTTAGCAAGACCCTATCTAAAAATAAAGGGCTGGAGGGCTGCCTGGAGATGTCGTTCAGTGGTAGAGTGCTCCTGGGCTCAATCATCAGGACTACATGTGTAAAACAATATAAATTTAAAATAATTTCAGGGGCCAGTGAGATAACTCAGCAGTGTAAAGCACCTGCATAAGCAAGGGTAGGCAGGCGCAGGGGACCTCGGCTTGATCCCCAACACCACATGCTGCTCCAACCTCGCCCTCAGGGTGGGCTGAGCTGGTAAAAAAAAAAAAAAAAGGAAAATCAAAAATAATTTCAAATGCCATTTATTTTCAATTTTATTATACAAATGGTTTTAAATAAACTTAAGATAATTTTAATTAAATATTTTCACCTGGTTTTGACTTAGTTTTGCAGTGCTGAGGATGGAATCCAATACCTTTCCCATGCCAAGAAAAAAATGTTCTACACTGAACTACATCCCCAGCCCTGTTTGTTTGTGATTTTGTTTGTTTGTTTTTGAGACAAGTTCTGGCTAAATTGCCCAGGCTAGACTCACATTTGCGACCCTCCTGCTTCAGCCTCCTGAGTTTCTGAGATTACAGGTACACATCGCCATGCCTGGATCTTTTTACTTTTTACATGATGCTACTGGAAAGCTTTTGTGTGTGTGTGTGTGTGTGTGTGTGTGTGTGTGTGTGTGTGTGTGGAACCAGGGATTGAGCTCAGGCCCCTGCGCTTTCTAGGCAAGCACTCATTCCACTGAGCCATCTCTCCGACCCATGGAAATCTTACAATTACCTGTTAGCTTTACTTCACGTCTAGGGGGGAAGCTCAGTAGTAGAGCACTTGTCTAGCGCACATAGGGCCCTGGGTTCAATCTCCGGCATCACAGAATAATAGACAAAACTGTACATGTAGCTGATGGGATTGGGCAATATTACTCTAGGATTTGCTTAGGTATTATGTTGACTAGTTATGACCTGTTAGAACGTTAGCCCTGCCAAGTGTGAGGTGCACAACTGCAATCCCAGCTCAAAAGAGGCTGAGGCAGGAGGATCTCTGATAGGTTCTGGCCCTAGTATAAATTGCTGAATCATGGCAATCATCTAATATGACTAAAACCCTTAAAACAAAAGCCCATCTTCCAAGAGCACCTCCCTCTTCTCCAACTCACCTCCAGGGTGCAGTTTCCTTTCACCCTTCCCACAGCCTCAGGGAAGACCCCACTCAGCTCTTTAGGTGCATCTAAACATCCCCTTCAAACTCTACCCCTGGCAAAAGGCTATAAAAGCCTCAGCCTCTCATTGTTCAACTTGAGAGAATTTCTTATCTTCCCCAAATTCTCCCCGTGTCCTCAAAGAAAATAAAGCCCCTTTCCCTTTTTCTTCTGCCTGTTTCTCTGCTGCGCTGGGCACCTGAAAAAAAAAAAAAAACAACAAAAAACAAAAGCAAAACTATCAATCTCCTTTGAGTTCAAGGCCAGCCTAGGGTAAGTGGTGAGTTCAAAGTCCGTTTGAGCTGCATACTAAGACCCTGTCTCAAAATTTAAAAAAGAATATCAGAAAATATTCTGATATTTTTTCTGCCTTGTTCACTGTCACCTTCCCAGAGCTCAGTGCATTGTCTCATGCATACATAGTAGATGCTCAATAAATACCCATTAAGTGGGTAGCTTGTTTCACCACGACTTACCATGTGTTTTGTTTTGTGTTTTTTGGTTTTTGTTTTGTTTGAGAAGAGTAGGGCTGGGGCTGGAACCCAGTGTGCGGAGGTTCCAGCGTTGCCCGGGTGTCCCGAGGCAGCAGTGCTGGCAGCCATCTGGGTCCCGGGGCCTCGCACTGGGGATGGGTGGGTGTCCCTTTTGGAGCGCATCAGCTGTCCAGCGAGCAGACCCCTCCCAAAGCTCCTTTCCCCGAGCTCACCCTTTCTTGCCCTCCTGCCTTTCCGCCCTGGATCCTCCAGCCTGGCCGTCCCAGCCTCCTAAACCATGAACCAGCTACATTTCTGCTTATCCTAGAGCCCCGCTCCCCGGGGTTCGGGT